TTTTGTAACATTTTTTTAGTGTCTTGATGAATTTAAGTTGTGTTCGAAAATTGACTAAAACATATAAAACAACTTATATCATGAGCGTTTGCGACTTCTATCGATTTTGGCTAAAGAAAATTAAAAAATATAACAAAATGAAGGGTAGCTAGAGCTGTAAAGGCATGTTTTTAGTCACTGCTGCATTATTTGGATCTCAAACTTTTTGTACAGCTATAGCGTCAAGATACAAAACATAATTGCACTTGAGGAAGTGTTGCTTCATACGAACAGAAATTGTACTGTACTTGTGACTTAACAGGTTGGAACTAAGTTTTGTAAATTTTTCAACAACTTGCTTGCTTTGATTGTAGCGCATCCAAACTTTGACAGTATTTGGACCGTAATATGTGCTACAAACTACCGCAAAAAAGTTTTTTTTTTGAAGCCGAAATAAAGAAATCCAAGCATTTTTTGGAAACTAATAATTAGAGTAAATTAGGTTGTTTTTTTTCTGTCCGATTTGAATTTTTTGAGTTAAGATATCATAACTTTTTTCAAAGTCAACTTTTTTCCAAGATCTTAATTTCCTTATGTTGAGCAGTTTCTTGGCAATCAGATACATATTGAAATCTGAGAAAATCCGTGTTTAGGAAGAAGCAAGTACCAAAAACTTCACAGCGTTTTTCTTCAAACCTGTCTTTTTTGACATGGCAATGCTCCCTTATGAGAATTAATAGGCACTTGTCTAACAATGTGCAGAGAGAGAATTTTTCGTAAATTATTCTGCACCATAGAAGAGCCCATAGTTGCGTTGCCTAGAAACTTTTTTTGGCAGAACAAAAAATTAGCCATTTTCTGATCTCGCTTCAGCGCATGTGTGCATGCCTAATTACGAGTTATGAAAATTTTACAATTGACGTGAGCGCCGAAAAGAAGTTAATGGATGGTCTCTGCTAGTCCTTGCTTTACCCTAGCACCTCCGACTTTGAAGTTGTCGATACTTCTATTCGCAGAAAGTTATAGCTTGTAAAACATCTATACAGAAAATCAATATTTGACATTAAATTTTACTAGCAAGACGTTTTCTTCATGAAACTGAACTTATGCGTGTGCTAGCCTATTACACCCTTATTCCGCAACTAATTAAAAAACTTGACGTGAAGGGCGCATTGCGGAGATTTCCTCGCAAGAACAAATTTCTAGGGTGAGAACGTACCTCGGCCCCTTGGAGATTGTCCTGAAATCTCCTTACACTAAGAAATTTACTGAATTTTAATAGCTTTAGAAAGCGCAAGAAAATCGCTTTCTGATACTGTTAATACCGCATTAGAGATGAATTCTCTTGAAACAGCTGCTTCAAACATAAGGCAAAAAAAAATCGGGCAGAACCTATGCAACAACCTAATGTATGATTATAAGGAAAAATGAGCCTTAGAGACTACTTTTATCATATTTGATGTCAACTGAAACCGCTGGTGGCTCATAAGCATGCTATCTCCGTTAATTCTGGCGTGTTAAAGTAATAGAGCAGAGGAATGAATAAGAACAAGACCAATAATCTTTATGCAATTATAATCCTTGTCAAACTTGAGGAAGAATGGAGCTATTGTGTCAAGTAATAGAGAACTCGGCTTATGACGATTGACGGGTAATAAGGAGCTAAATGTGCTAATTGATGTGCTTATGCTTTTGAGTAACTTCAAAATAAGCTCAAAAAGGTTAGAATTGTGAACAGCGTCGCAGTTCTCAAAAGCCACTATATACAGTGCCGCTGAGTTCATAAGTTCACTTTCTCGCAAATGTCCAAGTTTTCAGTAAGGTCTACTCTTTGGCCCAATTATTAGTACAGATTTTCTTCCATCATCTTTCATCCTCGATTTGAGTCTTGTAGCGATCTCCACATAGCTCCTGCTTATGTTGATTTTTTGACGACACTGTCCTACTCTGTCATCCACTAATGAATTGTTGACGTGGTGAGGCCATATCTTCACAGCCTCGAAGGGATATTTTTTCGCAAGATCTAGAAAATGACTTCACAAGGCTAAAGTGATATTCCACATTCCATTTTTCACATTATTAGAGACGCCTAAGCGAAACTTTATCAGATACTGTAACGCTCATTAGAGGATAACATGCAACTAAAGATCAAGTATGAAAACTTAAATTCTTTATAATATGAATTGCTTCTCTGAGGATTTGCGAACGCGTACCGTAACGTAGGGGTGGGCAAAAGTCATGTAATGTGGTTTAACCAAAAGTTTATCGAAGGAATTGATCTGTTAATTTGTCTTGTTTAGGCCTAACTACAAAGACACAAAAAATGGGGTAAGTTTTGACGTGCTGGACGATTTTGACGGTTATAGGAAATCGCCCTTGGCTAATCAAACATTTGTTATTTTGAGAAAATATTGTAAAAGTTTTCCACAGCGAAAAGATTGATAAACAACATACATAGATGCTACGCTTGAAACGTATTGAACAACTTCAAAGTACGAATATCATTCAAAAAATGCACAATTTGATGTACAAGCATATAAGCAAAACCTATATACCATCTAACTATTAGGGTGAACGGTAAAAAATGGGACACCTTGAGAATAAATGCAGATTTCTCAAGGAAGAAAAGTGACTGAACCTTCCAATTTTGATGGATATTAGAATAAATTATTCTCTTTCAGATAGCATCTATATAAGGTCATTTAAATAATTGATAATTTTATACTTGCTAAAATGCAAAGTTAGTTACTTCGAGAAATTATGAAGTTTGGGCAGTATCTGCTCAGTGAAACATGTGAGACCACCCAAAGTACCACTGCTGGAGTGAGTGGTGGGACAGTCACTAAACCCACAATGGCTTGGTGGCTTTAACTCCCAATGTCAGGAGATGTGCCCATTAACAGCTTCGAGAACAAAGATACGCGTTATTCAATTCTTTGCAGGTAAACGCATGATTTCTAGGTATCATCTGATAGAGCTTTTTACGCTCTATCCATCCATATGCAAACTTACTTCAGATTTTATTTATCTTCGGAAAATATAGGGCAAAACCCGATTTTTTGGTTTTTTGTTGCGCCAAAAATAGCTATTTTTCAGGTTTGTTCGATTTTTCTTCTGAAATTGAAAAGAAATCTCACGCATTTAACATATCGTTCGAAAGAGCATGAAGAGCTCTTTCGAATGGTATGTCATATGCTTTACGACTTTACGGTATAACAGCGCAAGATTGAGGATTGCTCGAAAAACCCTGTTCGAGTTCTTCACGGCGCCACGTGTAGGGTAATGGAAGAGGAGCGTTAACGCGTTGTCAGAATAATAAGCGAAGGTCGCCCATATAAGCGACGTTTAAGTTGCTGCTTGCTTGCTGTTGCCAGAAAGAAAAAATTTCAAAATGTAATGAAAATCAAGCTGTCCCATTTTTTTACCGTTCACCCTAATATTAGGTTGTAAAGAAAGTTCCCGGGCACTTCAAGGAATTTCTTTCAAACGCATTTTTTCGGCGCTCGGTCGGATCGTGACACCTAATTTTTTACAGTGTTCAATAGAGGGAAGCCTAACGTAATCAAAACGGTTTTTGATTTTTATCGAAGCCAATAGTGTTTGATCTGCACATCACAAAGAAAAATCTTTCCAACCATAAAAATTTTACAATTTTTCTTCGTAAGGCCGTTTTTTTGTCCAATTCAAAGAACTTCGCCCAAATCATGAGTGATTTGATTGAGAAGCCTGCTAACTTCTGACCCGCAGCTGCACTCGAGTTTTGTGATTTCGCTCAAGAACTACAAGCTGTCGAACTTGCATCTGACTGCAACTTTTTTCGCAGCCGGTGTCTCTTATGCGGGGATCGTCACGCCTGGATGATGAGTTCAAAAGATGTGTAAGGCATTACCCCAACAATGTTAGCAGTAATCAAAAATTTGGTCCACCCTATGCAGAACAACAAGACTTCAAAATCACTCACTCAAAAAATGGTGCATTTTTGTGGGCAAAAATGATCGATTTTTCAAACTTTCTGAAAAACTTTTCTTTGCATGTGGTCGCTCAAAGGCTTAGATAGTCTCCATAACAGCCCCAGCAGACTTCTATATAACTACAGCATTTGAGCTCTCCGGCTTCCATTGTGCCTGAGAAATTCTGCCCAAATAGGCCACTTTTCGCGGCGAACTTTCTTCCATCTGCGCATGCTGAAGGACCGTAGTGAGGTGCTGAAAAGTCAGCGAGACAATTATATGCTGTGGACAAAATTGTCTTTGCAATGAAGTTTGTAGCTTAAAAAAGGAACCAATCTACTTGAAGTTACAGCGATTTGAAAAAAATTTCTCAAATGCCCAGGAACTTTTCTTTACCACCTAATACTATCCGTACCTTTGGTGTATTATACGACCATCAATATGTTGCAGCTTTCGCAGTCAGCAGAATAATCCCTTTATATGAGCCTTAAACCGACAGCCTATAAATCTTCCGAAGACGTACCTTGACAATACTACCATCAATGTTCTTGGGTTTGGCAGTACATACAAAAAGTTTTTGGTCATTGTCAAAAATGAAATAAATGCTAGCTGTAAAAATTTTAATTATAGCAAAACATGCTTCGAGATTTGATGTTAGGCTTGTTTTGTTGGATAGATGCTGCCAGACCTCAGAGTGCCTTTTATGCAGTTTTCGGCCTAAGCGTTTCGACCACAGCATTGTTGAGAGAGGTAGCTAGCTCAAACTGTAGATTAAGAAGAAAAAAGGTGAAAATTGAAACGCGTCATAAAGCATATTAAGGGAAACTTACACTGAATGCTTTATAAATCCACTGCAGTGGTGGCAAGAATGCCAGAAAACGAGTTTCGTGTTGAGTCTACATTTCGACGTGATTCTCGAATTGACCCTTGCAATCGAACTTTCCACTGGACTCTGTTTCAGCACAGCAAGAACTCATCGAGCCAGTGAGAAATTTTCATAGTTGCACAAGATTACATCGTACCTTCGAGTGTTGATCGTACGCACTGCTGAAATATTGCGGACCACACGCAATGCGTCAAAGAAGACTTGATACTGCCTCTGTGCTGAGACTAGCAATTGCCTCACGGGTAAAGATTCGACGATATACATTCTCCTATTCTAAAACTCGAACCCTTTCAACACCAACACCTTTTCACATTTTACCAGTGACCACGATAATTTGTCAAGGAAAAAATCGATTATCTAACGTGAAGAATTTGCTTCAATTAGTTTTATTGTACACATGTCTAAAGCTCGTGATTGATGCGTTTGTGCGTGTGCGAACTATGCCATGTTGCAAAATTCAAAAAGAGTAATCTATCAGGAAAAAACCTTGGCTGAAATGATGTCTTTGGTTCCGTTATTTTTATTCGCTCTGTCAAGTCCAACTATTTCTGCTGCTGACGACATGAAACTTCAACTGGTACAAGTGGTAGGCTAAGAAAATTATTAATTATGTTATTACTGCAATAGCTTGCAATTACGCCCAGATTTGGCGGCATGGAGATAGAACACCTACGTTGACACATAGAACAGATCCAATAAAGGAGGATGATTGGAAGCTTGGAGGAGAAGGATGGGGGCAACTCACACCGGTGAATACATTTATCATGCACTGTAGCGTTCAATCAATGGGTCATATTAAGACAGGAATGAAGCAGCATTTTAATTTTGGAAAACAACTGCGGAAGCGTTATGTCGATAGTGGATTTCTTAGTGAAAGATATAATGCAAAGGAGGTAAGACAAGAATTACAAATATCGGGATAAGCAATTGTAGAGAGTATAAATGTAAACAAATACCTGGTATAATGAACTATGCCAGGAAGTTTGGATCTTGTTGTACTGTCTAAGAAACGCATACATAGTTGCGGTTTACTTTGTGACAATTTTTGAAAACGATTGCAAATCAAAAGATGCAACTGTTATGGATGGCAGCTGCTCTCAAAAACCAGTTTGAAATACTTTTTCTCAAAGCTTAATGGCTGGAGTGAATAATGAAAAACAGTGTTATAAACCTTTTGATGTAATCCGTCTTAGATGCTAAACTAGTGCAATTCAAATTTGATGTCGCTTTTTTGAATATAAACTTGCTCGATTACCAATCATCCATTGAACAAGTACTAATAAGCTCTAGGCGTCTAGATTACTTGATTTCAGCATCATTTGCAGAGAAAATAATGAGAGATAATGCAAAATAATTTAGAAGAATTTTTTACAAGCTTCAATATGCTTGCATTTTTATTGTTACAGATCTATATTCGCGCAACAGACTATAATAGGACAGTAATCTCCGCCATGTCAAATTTGTTGGGCATGTACACCTACAATAACACTGCAAGCGTTAAAGGTACAGACTATCCAGACGTGGAGGGATGGCCGGACGGATTTATTCCAATTGCAGTGCACACTATTGACCATCACATCGACAATGTAAATTCTTTTGAGCCTCGTTGTTGAACTATTTTATCTCCAATCTGATTTCCCTTTCAGATGTTGATCCCTCATAACCCGTGCAACCGCATGAATTGGCTGTTTGAAATGCTTAGAAATAAATCCGACGAGGTTAAAGGATACATAAACAGGGCGGATGTGAGTTATTGTTGTTGATAAATTATTTTGTTTCTTTTTCAGTGGCGGACCTTTCTATGGTCCTCACTTCGGATATCAGGTGCAAATTAGATGAAAACCTTATGTGCTGTTACTAAGTCTTGACAAAGACTGTAAAAACTCTCTGCCTAACGGTCCGTGTGAGTAGCTTCCGTCAAAACCTAAAAAATAACGATTAAATGAGATCTGATCTTTAGTTGTCTCACACCACAGAAAAAGGATAAAACTGCACATAATTATTCATCACCATGGCAAGATTTATCCAGAGTCGAACATGAAATATACGAAAACCCCGGAACTCGTCAGCAATCCGTGTATATGCGGAGCGCTAAAAGACTTTTTGCCTGCCCAATTTAATCCTGAAGGCTATACCAGGTGACCAGACCAACGCAGTTATTCTCGTTGTAGGGCCTTTTTTGAAACCAAGGAAAGCATACCGATCGACATGACCCTTTTAAGCGAAACTTATAGCAGAATACGCTCTTTGGTACGCTGAATTCAAATCCTTCAACATCTGCTGTCCTGCATGTATACAGATGCAGGTTTCTTCTTCTCGAAGTGCCAGGTTCGCAGACATTGCCAGCGGCAAAGTGTGGCCTAGTGGATAACATGCTAGACTGGTGATCTCATGCCACCTTGAAATCGGCTATTTTGTGTGCAGATCTTTTGTTGCTGTATGTAAAGCTTCTTGTTGAAGACAATATCAACTGACACTTCAATCATGTCCCTTTTTTGAAATTGCCAGAAACGAAAAAAATCTGTCAAAATTTCCTTTATAGCAAACTCTAAATGGGATAATATGGGGTTATGAGCTGTCATATTCAAACACAAAATGGGTGGAACAAAGAACGTGCTGTAAATTAGGTCGTTCCGAAAGTTTTTTCCGTTTTTTAACCTATCATAAAAAGACGTGGAATGAAGGTAGGGAAACGCTTATAATTTTCAATCCGGCATTTGTCACCCTCGGGCCGAGTCTGTTCCTACAAGGACACTCGTTGGCAATGCATGCGAGGCTGACACTTATCTTCGGGCTTCAAATTGTTAGCAAAAAGCAACGCGCATAACTTTTTATGCAGGAATGAGTTTAGGGTACCAAAAAAATTTGATGGTATACATCTTGTCTCAGAGCCACTTGTACCCTTCCCTTCTTATTGTTAATAGTGAACTGGGGCGTACGGATCTGGACGCTGCCTATGCGCAATTCAAAACGCACTTGTGAAACAAATCTTTCGCTCTTGTTCGAAATAAAAGTCAATCTTGGTGGTCTCAATCAATAAATCATGGAATTATATTAGAAAGTAACGATTAGGAGACCACACAAATATCAAAAACGCAGCTTCAACAAATCGTTTATATTTCTTGATGCTTTCATTTTGCTATTCTGGGATGCAACAAAAAACATTAACGAACAAGAAGCAACAAAAGCAGTAAACGGAGACACTAACGCATATCAATCGCAAATCAATCTATGTAACTACTTTTAGATTTTTTATACTTGACAAGAATTTGAAAATTTTTGATTGAAGGTGGTTGTCTGGCAATTGCTTATCTAATTTGATCCACACCCGTCAATTTTTGCGTTTACATTGGCTAGTGTTTGACTTCTACTTTCTCTTGCTTGTGTGTACATTGAAGTGGACGATATGTCGCTCTTGAAATTGTGAGTTGGAGAGGGCGTGCAAGTGGTACCCGGGCACAGCTTGCTGCCGAAGCCAGCCGCCGGAGCAGCCGGCATAGTCGTTGCAGTGCAGATATCACGCTCGTCATTTGAAACTGTTGCCGAACGGTTCGCACATTGTCGCGCTGAGCTGCTCAGCCTCAGAAGCAGCGTGATATCTTTTTTTCTTTTCTTTTTGTTTTTATTTTCTTTATTCTTTTTTTTCGTTTTCGTTCTTTCTTTTTAATGGCGCACCTTGAGTGCATATAATAAATAAATAAATAAATAAATAAATAAATAAATAAATAAATAAATAAATAAATAAATAAATAAATAAATAAATAAATAAATAAATAAATAAATAAATAAATAAATAAATAAATAAATAAATAAATAAATAAATAAATAAATAAATAAATAAATAAATAAATAAATAAATAAATAAATAAATAAACAAATAAATAAATAAATAAATAAATAAATAAGTAAATGTTCTCATATCTAAATGATTTCAAACAGCAAAAGGTTTATATTGAACCATGCAATCAAATACCAGATTACTTGAGCGGAAAACTTCCAAAGATCCACAGAAGTGAGTAAATAGGAACTTTTGTAGTTTTCTGTTACAGATTTTAACACAAAATACAATGATTGTTTTTCGAAACTGTAGTTATGTATGCGTCAAACTGTAAATTTTTTTGAAACTTCTTCCCTCAGTTTTTAGCAAGCTTCAGAAAACGGAGTTCATAAAGTGTATTTTACCCTCTTTCTCATTTGGAATGAGCTCACACCAGCGGCTGGGCCCCGCCCTCGCGAACTTGTCGTTTAATCGTATTCAGGGCCCTTCAAAGAGCATCTGGAAGCAGATTAGACTTCGTTTTTGGAGCAAAAAGCAAAAGAGATATCGTTTTTGATGAGTCGGGGGCCGAACACCAAGAATAAGCGCCATTTAGTCGAACACAAGCTTTTCGGACAGCTTATCGCACGACTGACATGCTAAATCGTGTATGGCGAAAAATGCGCGCGATTTGAAGCAAGGCTAAAATAAGCGAATTGCTTGACGGCGCACACAGAATCATTGACACCAAAATTGAACTATATACATAGAAAATTATTTGCGAAAGACTTATGCAAAAAGATTTAAAAACTTAAGTGAAGTACTATCTTCTTCGAAGTTAGTCCATCTCCAGACGGTGACCAGACGATCTGAGACGGATCCCCCAGTCAAAAATCTATCCCTGAGCATAAAAACGTTTTCATATCACTGCCTTTCCTTTGTTTTTTGCCTCAGTTTCTTCATAAATTGCTTTGTTAAATACTGCGCTCCGACGTCAAACTTCTGCATGGTAGTATTCAGCTCCAATCTGGATTTTCATTCTTATCTCACGTTTTTTTTTTCAAATTGGCAATTTTTTTGTTTTCGTCTTCTCCTAGGTAGGTAGGTCAAAGAGAACTTCGTAAAACTTCCGAAATCAGGGGGAGACTTTGTTTTCAGACTAGAAACCGACGCGTGCCGGGCCCTGATCGTATTTCCACTCTTGCAAGGATGTCACTTAACCTAGTATCGCGTTTCAAAATCATCAGACACATAATCTGAAATCAGCTTCGAATGCGGATCCCGAACATGCTATTTCTAGCTGCGGCACATTACTTTAAAGGGAGTTATCGTTTAATTTAGATGCAAGATTTGCCAACTCTTTGACCTACTGGCATTACGGTATCATCAACTACGTGCTAATTGACTGCATAAAGTCTCTTGTCAGTTACAAAAGACTCAATCTGATATAATTTTAGTACCCCAGCACTGTTTTTAGGCAGATTTCCATCTACAGACAGCCCTACTATATGGAAAAGTATGGCAATTTCGCACAGAAAAAAGCCCATAACTTCCTTCGGAATAACGCGCCACAGCGAGAAACAGCAAATTTGGAATCAACGTTCGAAGCTGATTCCGAATATATGTGTCTCATCTTGAAACGCTATACTAACAATAAGTCAAGTCACATCCTTTGTTAGTAGCAAGCTTTAATGGCTGATTAGGTGTAAGAGAATGCTCAAAGTAAGTGTCGCGGACGATGCGCAGGGTTTAGGCATAGCGACCGCGCGGGAACCAAAAAGCTTGAGTCGCTCTCTGCAAATGCGACAAAGATTAAGCCAAAATGCAGCGTGGGCAAAGCTAAGGAAGGTGTTTAGTGACATTAAGCACATTATGTGAAAGCACACACGCTATCGCACAACTGCGAAGTCATAACGCTAGATTAGAAGCGAGAATTAAGCTTGAAAGGTCAAGGGACTAACGCATAGAAGGAGAACTTCGTCTAACTGTGGATATCCTGTTTGCGGTATTGCGAGCATGCGCTACAGTCAATGTGATAGGGTCTTACAGCATCTCAGCTTCTCAGCCTTGACAAACTGCCTCATATATCTATTCAATACACAACGCTTTAGAAAATGCCTTTTCTGACCTTTCGCGCTTTTTAATGTAGAATTTCATATTTAAGCTAGGAGAAAAAGCTAAATATGAAATCTGGCCCTAAAACTGCCTTCAAATGACAACCAACAATGCGAGTTAGGCCTACAAAAACCGAGCTTTTTTAGCTTACATCAACTTCCCTGGATAGCTAGATTTGAATAATTTCGGCACACGCTTCAAAAGTAGAACATTTTGCGCAATTGAAAGACGTGAAGATAATCTCACAATTAGTCAGCTTTGTGCACATGAAGCGAGGCGTACCCAAGCGTTGGCTTATTCGTCTATTGTTTTCGACGTTCGCTCTCTCTTCGCATTTCGAGCCATACGTCTTTGTCAGCGATAGCCCACATCGTTCGTATGGAAAGAGTGGAGCTAATTGGCTGCTAACTGCGCGAGCTGTTTTCGCTCCAGAACAGTGGTCAATTTCTTGCATGCAGAAAACAGCTTCGCAATCAGCGCAAGCCATGTGTTCACGATTAATTCATTTGAAATGGCCACTTCGATCAACTTCTTAAAAAACATACTACTACTTGGGATAATTCACAGAATTTCTAGAGCAGAGTCTTCAGGTACAAGAGGTTTTTGCGTACTTGACAGAAAAAGCTGGAGAAGGCATTAAGGCTTACAACCAGAGTAACATATGGGAAGTACGTGATACGCTGAAAATAGAGGTAAGCTATTAATTATAAATTTTTTTTTGAAAAATCTGATCACAGGACAGAATAAAGTTTGTTTGCTGATTTCAGCAGGTACATTTCCCAGAAAGACTAAGAAATGAATGCACTTGGTATTCAGACGAGTTGTACACGAAAATTGCTCAGATTGCAGACAAAATTTCACTGTTTGACAATGGGATCTTTGGTAAGAACATAAATTTGTTTGTATTGACGTACAGAGTGTCCAAAAAATGTGCCTACTGTTTAATTGGTATTTATACTCTTGTCATAAAGTTTCTGAAAAAGCTTTAGGTACGATTTTGCAGAGATGGCTTCAACTTAGATCAAAAGTGTAAAAGAAACCACCCACCTCTCTTCATTACTATAGGATTACGGTAGGGACTTTGGAGAAGTTTCGGATTGGAGGGCCATATTTTGGCTCAAAAAGGGAACAAAACGACCGAAAATTTCACATTAATCAAATCGGATCTGCTGATTCCAAATATGAGGTTTGATTCTTGCTATGATGCTTCCTCAAAAAGTTATTCCAAGTAAGCTTTAGCAGCCGCTTCCTCGATGTTGCTCAAAAATAAAATGACACTGTTAAAAAGCTTCACAACCTTGCAAAGTTGAGTATCAAACTCGGTATCCATGAGAAACCTATTATTTCACAATCAGATTTTTTGAAACTTATTTGAAATGGCAGCTTTTTACAATGACGTCATACGCCAAGATGCTCCTAGCCTAATCTCGCGATAATGAAGGGCGATGGGTAATTCGCTCCACAACTGTAAATTTGAGTTGAAGCCAGCTCTATGAAATGGGCCTAGAGATTCTCGTAAGTCTTCACAAGAGCGTTATTGAAAATTAAGCGGTGTGCGATTTTTGGGTACCCTGTGTAAATATGGTGCATCAAAGTTTTCTATAGCCGTCAACTAAAGAAGCTGTCATTTATAAATGTTTGCACGCACGAAAAAACATGACTAAAGTGCGGTTCATAATTATACGAACACCCAAAATTTTGTAAGTTTTTGGATTTTTTGGGAGAAACTTAAAAAGCCGTTGGTACCACTCGATACACAGCCGAAAACGGTATATGATTCATAAGAATGAAAATTGATGTTAACTGTAGGAGTGTTTTTGCGCCCAATGCGAATTTTTAGCGGTTCATAATTATACGAACACCTCAAACAAAGGTCCATTTTTCATTCAAGATTGCAGTCATTTGAGTCCAAATTTTTTGTAGAGTTACAATAACAAAATCTGACATATCTGCTATACACTAAACCCAGTGCATTTCAAAAAGAGGACCGTTACTTTTTTCAAAAGCTCTAAATGCTTTTGGAGTGTTTGCTCTCCAAAAACATCCGTTTTTCTGTGGTTTACGCGTTCTAATTAGTTTTTACCAAAGCTATGAGATGAAATAAGCTCTTGCGATAGGTATTTTGTTTGACGCTTGGGAAATCTTTGCGTTTTCGTGCCGTTTTTTAACCAAGTTCCAACCTTACCACAGAGTTAGCACGATCTTGAGCCTCAAAACTCAGCTTCTGAAGCCGTACAATGTAGCAGGCATATAGTATGTAGAAGTTCACAAGACTTTATATTTGGCTAGAAAAAATCAGCAGCGTTGAGCGTTTGTTTTGGTCACGCAGACGTTATTTCACCAGAAATACTGTTTTTACTATTGCAATCACAACTTTATTTGGTTTGTAGCTCCACAGCCGCAAAATCAGTTCTAGAAAAAACCCAAAAACCTTGGCATAGAAACATTATCATGCAAGCAATGCAGCTGTTTCATATCAAATGTTTGTGCAAGAGAGAAGCTGAGTTTGAGGCTCGAAATCGTGCTAACCCTGTGGTAAGGTTGAAACTTGGTTAAAAACGGCACGAAAACGCAAAGATTTTCCAAGCGTCAAACAAAATTCCTATCGAAGGGGCTTATTTTATCTCATAGCTTTGGTAGAAGCTAATTAAAGCTCGTAAATCACAGAAGAACGGATGTTTTTGGAGCCCAATCACTCCAAAAGCCTTTAGAGCCTTCTGAAAAAAGTAACGGTCCTCGTTTTGAACTGCACTGGGTTCACTTTGTAGTAGATATGTCGGACTTTGTTGCTGTAACTCTACAAAAAATTTAGACTCAAACGATTGCAATCTTGAATGAAAAATGGACCTTTGTTTGAGGTGTTCGTATAATTGAGAACCGCTAAAAATTCGCATTAGGCGCAAAAACACTCCTACAGTTGACATCGATTTCCATTCTTATGAATCATATACCGTTTTCGGCCGTGTTCTATCGCGTGGTACCAACGGCTTTTTGAGTTTCTCCCAAAAAGTTCGAAAACTTACAGAATTTTTGGTGTTCGTATAATTATGAACCGCACTTTATTATCCTACCGTAATACATTAGGATAAGTCTTGACACTCACCTCTTACGGCGATAAGTCATACAGTTCATTTTCAATAAGAGTCCAAGACTCGATTGAGCAAGCTTACAAGATGATTTGTAAAAGTTCGCACCGACTTCAACCCACTGTAAGTTCGAAATCGAGAAAACGAAAATTTTTAAAAATTTGTACACAAACGAAGCTATGCTGTTTGCCATCATGCAATTGCATACTACAAGCGCTTAGTAGTATAACCGTAAATTTTCAGCATTCCGCAAGCCATTTTCGAAAAATATTGATTTTAGCATGGAACACCAGTGTGGAAAGAGCTAAATTCGGTGTTTGAAAATTAAAGATTGGAGAAAACTGAATATCTACGAATATACTCCTAAGGAGCTTGTAGTACTTGAATGCATGAGCGAAAAGAGCTATTCGTTTCTCGATTTGTGAATGAGGAAAAATCCAGGAAAGGTATATATGAGTGTCTAATCAGGGCCTGTCACGAATCGGTTTCTAGGTTTACTGAAAACGAAGTCTCCCTCGACTCTCGGAAGTTTTACGAAGTTCTCTTTGACCTACCTGCTTAGAAGAAGATGAAAACAAGAAGGCTTTACTAGTCTGAAAGAAAAGTCGTAAGATAAGAGTGAAAATCTAAATTGGACCGAATACTAATGCTGAATAATACGCATGCACAAGACTTTGGTATTACAGCGCGATATTTAACAAAGAAATGAAGGCAAAAAGCAAAGGAAAGGTAATGATGTGAATATGTCTTTATGCTCGGGGATAGACGTTTGACCAGGGCCATCCATGCTAAAAAGATCCGAAACTTACGTGAAGTGACGAAATTACAGGGTGTCCCAAAAATGTGAACACTGTTTGATTGTTGATAACTCCCTTGCTTTCATATCTTTCACCAAACTTGAGGCACCATTCTATAGAGCGAGGTTTAACTTAGATCAACAGTACGGAGCGAACCGTCAATCGCTTTTCACTACTGTAAAATTACGGTAGGAACTCCGATAAAGATTTCAGGCCATTGTAGGCCATATTCTGCCTCGGAACAAACCCAAACAAGCCGAGAACTCTTTTATATAATGGTAATGGAAGCCGCTGATTTTAAAGATGAAATTCCCACTTTACTGTGACGCTTCTTTCCAAGGTTATCCCAGGTAAACCGTAATAGCTGAATTTCCAGCGTTTGTCAGAGATGTGACTACACCGTCAAGCTAAAAACACTCGTAAAAAGTTGTGTAATGGAATCAGCGTGCGCGAAAACCCTCGATTTTTCAGATATCTTGGAAATTTTTTTGTTAAATGGCATATCTCAGAGTAGATCCACATGCTAAAAGTTCACACCGTAATCCTACAGTAACGAACAGCGATCGGTGATTGCTCCATACTACAAATCTAAGCTGAACCTCGCTCCACAGAATGTTGCCTCAAGCTCGGCGAAAGACGTTAAAGCAACGGAGTTATTAACGATCAAACAATGTTCACATTTTTTTTGGGACACCCTGTATATGCTCCAGACGATCTCAGGTCGTCTGGTGGCCGTCTGAAGACAATCTAATTTTGGAAAAGGTATTACTTCATAAGTTTTCAAATCTTTTTACATATTACTTTCGCAAATAATTCTCTATGCATACAGTTCAGTTTTGGTGTCATATGCTTCTGTGTGTGCTGTAAACAAGCAATTTGTTTATTTAAGCCTTGCTTTCAAATCGCGCGCACTTTTCGCCATGCACGATAGAGCATGTCAGTCGTGTGGTAACCTGTCCGAAAAGCTTGTATTCGACTAAATGACGCTTATTCTTGGTGCTCGTTTCTGACTCGTCAAAAACAATATTCCCTTTGCTGTTTGCTTCAAAAACGAAGTCCAGCCTGCTTCCAGACGATCTGTGCCGGGCCCTATGTCTAGGGGGCATGCAAACTTACAGTGGGTCGAACTTGTTGCGAACTCTTGCAAAGCATCTTGTAGAGCTTTCTCTGCTCTATCGAATTTGTCCTGGACTCTCATTGAAAATGTGTACTGCATGACTTATCGCCGTGAGAAGTGAGAGTGTCTCAAAAGTTTGAGAGTGTCTCAAAAGTTATGTTACAACCTAATCTAATAAGGGACTGACAAGTGAACACAATTTGAGTGTCACTCTTGAAGACGCAAGCACTGGTGACTGAGGAGAGATGGTTTTCAAGTTTGTGTAGATGTTTCCCTGTTTCAATAAGGTATAGCGTTGCAAGGATCTTGAGCGAAATTTTCGTTCAATTCACCGTCTAATTCCACTCAGTTTCACCGATATTTCTTGTGCAGTAGCGCCAAAAAAGACGTCTCTCCCAAATTCAGTCTTCATCAACCAAATTCACTTTCGATGATGGCTATATCGCACATAAACTAAGGTAATTTTTTTCTGTTCCGCTTAACATACATAGCTCAATGCGCAGGAAACGGACGTGATAGAAGAATGCTGGAAAATGCTACGCTAAAGCTGAAAAAAGCATAACATATGTAGCCAAATAGATTTTTGGAGATCTTACAAGAGGGTTCTAGCGATAGGCTGCTGTATAAGTTCTGTCCGTTTCATAATTTGAATTTTCTATATTTCGCGTTCTCTCAAAATCAATCTTTTCAGTAAACCCATTTTTCTTGAATCAAAGTTTTAGCCTTTTTAGAAAGCTGCCACGCCCTCGAGAAAAGTAGTTGAACAAGAAGCAAAGTTTGCAAATTTTTTACTATGCTGTTTTGAGCCTTTTTTACCTAAAGGTGCTTCCTTATAAAAATTGACAGCCTACGCCAATAATGAACAGAAAAATATTCCTTAGTATAATCGTTTATACCTTTTTTATTTGATTCTTTTGTTGTTGTTGCGAGTGGTCAATTTAATTAGCGGATAAATCGCTTTTGCTTACTGTAGGATCTACAAAGTTCGATTCACTGATTTTTACTTACGAAGAGTTGTTGCTGCTTACAGAAGTTGTTGCTCATAAAGTAGTTATTGGAAGCACTAATAAAACGATTTTCATGGTATAGCTTTTATACAAAAGCAAATTTGTGCATATGTTAGCCTTTTCCGTGGCCAATGTGACTGCATACTTTGGCCAGTACCTTTTGGAAAATTTCTCAAATAAACTTGTTCCAAGTGAGGACCTATCTCGAAGACCTCGCTTTTCTGCACTCTCCTCAGAGTGAAGATACTACAGGGTGTCCGTAAAGTATGTATACACTGTTTGATCGTTAATATCTTTCTTCCCAACAAGTCTTTTGCCTTGTTTCAGGTACCGTTTTGTAGTGCTGGCATCAACTTAGATTCATAGTGAAGAATGAATCACTCATCTCTCTTCATTACTGTAGGATTACGGTAGAAACTTCAAAGAGAGTTTTGAGCCATGAAAAGCCCATATTTTGCCTCAGAAAGGAAACAAAACAGCCTGAAAGCTTCTACACTAGACTAATTTGAGTTGTTAATTCTAACTGTAAAGTTCCCAACTTATTACGATGCTTCATCGAAGAGTTATGCCGGGTAAGAGGTAGCGGCCATTTTTTCAATGTTCCTAAAAAGTGGGTTACACCGTTTAGAAAGCTTTGCAGTCTTGTGAATAGTTGAGTATTGAACTCAGCGTCCATAAAAAACCCTATTACACATGTTTTCACATTTTTTTGAAAATTTTTGAAAAGGCAGCTTTTTCCATATTGACACCATATGTTTCAAGTTTCTACCGTATTCCCACAGTAATGAAGAGAGATGGATGATTCGCTCTATATTGTAAATCTAAGTTGAAGCCAGCTTTATAAAACGATTCGTGAAGCAAGGCAAAAGACTTGTTGGGAAGAAAGACAACGATTAAACAGTGTATACATACTTTACGGACACCTTGTATTGAAGCATATAAAGTCGAATCATTTCATATGATCATGTGTGTCACTGCGCACACTGCCCATCTCTTGCGTCCCCATCCTGGAACTGCAATCGCAAAAACGCAGGAGACCGACCGATTATTATCCTTTACATCACTTTGTGAAGAGTGGTAATCAAAAAGAGGAAGAAGCCAGAAGGAAACATCGGAAACAATTAGCAGAAGGGCTCTCTGTTTATAAAATCCAGGATGAGGACGCCAAAGGTGGACAATATGTGCTGTGACATACTTAATTTTTCAAAATTATCCGATTGCATGAGAAAAAGCAACAAAAGCACTTCTGCGCTGAACGCCATGGGACCAGCGCCATCAAACAAAGACAACAAAAACGTGCAGCATTTATGAATGGCCTATCACAACTTTGAAATTATCAGTCACTTCGCATTTGAAAGGTTGAAATCCACTGAATTTGAAGATCATGAGACTTCCTGTGCATTGATTCAAAAAAGCCTGTGTTAAAGCTCTTTTTTATTTATTCTAGCGGGCAAGTTTTGGGTGTTTGTTGTGTCGATTTCATATAAGCTTGATGAAATTCTGGTGCAACAGTTCAAATTCACTATTTAACATGATTTTTTGAGAATTCAAAGCTTATGAACAGTATTTTCCAGAAAAATCGCAAGAATCTTGAGGAAATGCAAGAAAATTGTCTCAGCAATCTACATCTTTTCAAAGCATTTTGCCTTGTTTTGTTGCGAAAACGGGTTAAATGGAAGCTAACCACTTTCAAAGCTCCAAAATACATATTTCTTCTATCAACCTAATGGTTTCCTCGTAAATAGCGAAAATGGTAATTTAGTCATCGACAATGCGCTTCAACCCTGACATAGTATGCCGGAGCATTATCGACGAGCAAAAGTTGATTATGTGAACAAATGCAAACATGAAGAAACTTTGTCTTACAAGGATTGTCGCAGCAAAACTTGGAAAAGGAAGAAGGGTTAGGTTGTATGCTAACAATATCATACCGTATCTTTTTTAGAACATGGACCAGTGATAATAAACGACCTTGATATGGGCCTGGAACTGCGTAAAATACGAGGAGGCCCAGTGACCAACGATGTTAATATGCGTATGTATATGAAATACGATTGCTTAAACAGACAACATGAACCTCAGTGTCGCTGGATAAAAAATCTCAAGTATCATGTTTATTCATGCGTAAGTAAAATTACGAAAGCTTTCATAAGCAGCTCATTTCAAAGTGTTTGTTTTAGCATGACACAACTATTTTCGCGCTCTTGACTGTCTTGGGAATCGAGTCAAAAGTCGTTGTTAGCGGATCATATCCGGACTATGCTTCGGCTGCTTTCGTTGAATTATATACAAATGCCGCGGGCGAACCTTACTTTAAGGTGTTTCATTCGAAAAATTTTGCGTTTTAGCAAACTGATTGATTGCAGATATTGTACCGCACTAGTGATGTGGAGGACGAGATTTATTCCGTAACGCAATTTATAGATGGTTGTGACAAAAAGGAATACTGCAAACTAGAGGTCTTCGACAAGTACGCTAAAGGGGCAAAACCGGATCTAGATATAATGGAGGTAAATCTTGTCTCTTACCTCATTTAGCGAAACTATTCATAACCAGGATCAAGCGTGAGCTCGGGACACACTACCTCTGGACGTGGTATTAAGGACTTAAAAAGAGAAGCGAGGCATAATTGAATACTGACAATAACGACATCAATAATAGCATGATTTTCGTAAACAGTGTGTTAGATAGATAACACTATGCGAAATCCAAGCACACGAGATAATGATGTCATCGTTTACCTACCGTAGCATAATAAAGAGGCAGTGCCAAACACGAGTAATCTATTAATAAGTCGCATGTCAAATAACCGCGTTGGACTAAGTTTAAGCGGATTCTAAAGTTTCCAAAATACTGTACCACCTGAGTGAAACGGTCACTTTTAACATGATCAACCTAGCTTCGAGGCAGATTAGCTATTTCTTCCTGCACTCAGCACAGAGCACTACTTCTTCTTTGCCCAACCCAAAAATTACACTTCAAAAATCTCCAAACTTTGGAGTTAGAAGCAGGCCAACATCTCGTTTGTCCCATTTTCGCTTTTGATGGCTGTGTTTTCACCAACTATCAATCAGATCAAATACGAAGAGTCGCAGTTTCACTTCTGTGAAAACTACAATATTTAGGCTATCGAATCATACAACTACTGTTCGATGAATATGTTTCTGGAACAGGATTAATGGGGTGTGGCACAACGTCAAAGAAAGATGCGGCAGCTACACCTTTTTTGGGGTTGTAACACACCCCAGTAACTTATCACGGAAGAACTTTCCAGCAAACAATGTAAACATAATCAATAATCAATTAATTATCAATTCTGTGAAATTGATTTAATCTTCAGAATTAAAAATTCCAGAACTGGTCTCCAGCAGTTATCTGACACGCTAATTATCGCACTCACGCACTCGCTATGCTTGGTAGGGCTTTATGTTATAATTATCTTCGTTGTGCAATAATTCAGGGGTCTCGTTGAGACAGCATTTAGGGGGGGGGGGGGAGTGGATTCGTATCTAGCGATCGTGTGCCACACCTCTTGCTTGACTCTGTTTATAACGAAACCCTTGAAATATAGTGCAAGCAGTGCACTTCTTTAGGCGCTTTGGTGCTATGCATTATCGTCATGTGCTAAATGCGGAGTCTTTGTAATTTTCGCACATCAGTTTATTGACAACAAAATCGATATCGATCGATGACGAAAAGTAGCCTATGGCACCCACCGCGGCCCGAAGTCTATGTGGCAATTAGAATTGAGATTTCTATTTGGAACATATGTACAGACATACATACAGACATATAAACAGACATGCAGCTTTATTTGTACAGATCTTTGAAAAAGAAGGCTGTGACTATATGCTATAGTCACTTTGCATAATACTCCTCGGTTCGCGTTCAGTTTCATTTCTGCGCTAGAACAAAGCTAGGGGATGTGCGCTGTCCTACATGGAATAGGCTCAGAATCACTGTTATGCAACAGCATACACCCGCAAACTCCATGCTTTCAAATTGCTTCAATCGCAGAGAAGGAGATAAATCGCATAATGCTAATCAACATTTTATGAAGTGATCTTTATTATAGCTTACCTGCTGATCCATCTAAAGGGGGGCAGAACAATTTCGCAGGTGGAGGAATCGCAGCTCAAAAGAGCTCTAATATTAGCTGCAGAGATCTAAACTCAACGCCGCTGTTCATTAACCCTCAAGTATTCTCACTGCCTTCTATCATGACATGTTAACGGGAGCGATTATTTGATCCCGTTTCCCAGTTTTTTGCATTATCTTCATATCAACCCAAAGCTTCAAAAATCTTTTCCTCGTCACCTTGCTTTCGTCGAAAACAAGTGAAACATCTAGTTGTAAAGTCACTATCCCAACATTACATGTTCCTGATAAACCAATAAGTACTCAGAATGTCGAGGTATCTGACAAAAATCAAGTTTTGACCTATGGTTCAGCAAAGTTGATTACTACGTTGTCGCATCTCTTGTCAGAGATATGCTAATAGGGGAATGGTCAGAAGTCAAAGTGGCCAATCCAAGCAAGCTGTCTACCATTTGCAGCATTTAACGCTGATTTCGAATCTGTTTCTACGTTTGCTGAGCGCCTTTAAGGATGAAGTTATGAGCAGTCTCATCGCGAAAAAATCTTAAATAAAAACTGCGAAATTGAGCACAATGTTGCACTTTAGGCTCACCTTTGGGCTTCAAGAATATGAGGTAACCTAGCTGCATGTTTTGATCCAGCATTAAGCCGAACATGTTTTGTGCGCCAAATTTGCGCTTTGCATGCACGATTTCTTAGCAAAACAATGACAAAGCGACTCATAAGTTCGCAATCTGTATTCCATATCTGCTGGGCGCCCACATAGGCGCCCAGCAGATATGGAATACAGATTCTAAGCAGCGTTTTATGCTTCATCCAATGATATGCAGCTTGTTTGGGTTGGCCACTTCCATTTCTGACAATTCCCTTGTAGGCATGATTGGACTTAATAGTCACGAGGATTCAAATGCTTTGATTAGCTTCAGAGGAAGGTATCCGACTTTAAAGAAAAGGCGACGGACCGCCTGGACCATCGGAGGTCACAGAGCAGGGACTCTCGACTTATATACTGCACTCGCGATCAACACGTTTGAACATGAGGATGGATAAACATTGTAAAATTCCTTAGGTCTTTGTTTCAGCATATAGAGCCTTCATTTAAGCTGAGCCCTCTTCTGCTTCAAACTAGCCCGCCTGACTAGCAATGGGTAATTGAACACCTAGTGTGCGAAAAAAAATGGTTTCGAAACAAGAAAATCGAGAGGATATTGCAATCCCTGCACTGTTCGTCAACATGGATGTTTGAAAGTATTGAGCCTTTCTTAACGTCAAAATCGAAAAATTACCATGAGGATGATCAATACTGAATCTGGTACCCTGTTTCAGATTAGTAAATCAAAAATGTCCAGGTTTCTGTGAAGAGCAAAGAAATCCACGTTTTAAGGGTTTTTCAAAGGTCCCCGTAGAAAAACTTTTCCGCAGTGGAAGTAAAATCACTTAACTTGAACGTGCTAGTTCGTCGGCACTAAACATCACCATCCACTAATCTTAATAAAGTCGTCCTTAGACTTAAAATACATTTAGATTTGGATGTTACTGCCGAAAATCTGCAGCTCGAAAACTGTGAAGACCACTGTGGTAAATTTTTAAAAGCTTGCCAAGGCAAACTGGCCAATGATGATATATAATGTTTCACTGACTCTCACTTAATGAATGACCGAAAATTTCTTAACCCCAAGCCTTGGGAAAACGCTTTGTTGATCAAAGATTTTCATAATTTAGAGTACTCCGATTGAATGAAGTTAAATAGTTCGTGTTTTAGTGGTGCGAGGTGAACCCATGGGGCAGCCCTGAGGATGACAGTTCATCTACTAATCTTATGCACATTACTTTGGGTAAGCTTTTGTCACGGAAATTTGGTATGCTAACAACCAGTACATTTAGCTTTCATATTGATTGCACACCTGTGGTCTCTTTCTTGATCGATCGCCTCACACTCTTGTAGAAGAGGACGTGATGTATAGTCTTCATTTGTTATCGTACAGTCGAATATGTAAAATATGTAATGAATCTTCTCTATTATATGCTTTTCAATAACATTCTACATAAAACTGTAGAAGTTGTAAAACTACATTTTAGATGCGTAATAATGGCACCTGCGGGGTCAAGACATAGTGGTTGAGGGGGTAACGGAACTTACATACTCCGAAAGGCTTGCCGCCGCGTAAGTAAAAGAGATCATGAGAGGCCATGAACTGGCAGTAAGGCTAATCTGATTGCACTGAAGACGAGCTTATTCTGCACACGATTACCCCGCCATGATTCCACAGTTTATGAAACCATGACTTTGTGGAATTTTAATTCAATGTTCAACTTTATGGAATCTTAATTGTTCAGTAGTAAGCTTAGTCTAATTAGAGTAAAATTTTAAACACAGATTTCGCTCGGAACCAAAATATTCCTCACTACAAATATGATAAGAATAGTGTTTAGAGCTCTTCTATTATGCTGTCTCCAACATGCTGGTGGTTTTGATAAAATTCTTGAAATTTTCGGTATCTTTGAAAATTACACTATTTGAAGAAAAGTTTGAAATTCAGAAAGGAAGTCTCAAGGTTTCTAGCGAAATCTCCAGCATTCCCGGAAACAGCATCCTAGTAAACCTTTGGACAGCAATTTTGAGATTTTTTGTCAGAAAGTTTTTGAAAACAAGTTTGAAATTCAAAAAGAAATAATACCAAGCTTTTACCAGTACCAAGCAAAACCACCATCACATTGTGAAAATAGCATGGCGAACACCCCTAAGTGCGTGTTATTATCCCCAATTGGACTAAATTCACTACTGACCTTTTTTCCTCCCGGATACATGAAGCAGAACAGCGTCCAATCCTCAACCCCGCTCAAGTTCGCAGCTTTTCTCATCTCAAGGAGAAACGGGGTAGAAGAAAGAACGGAGAAGCAACGAATGGAAAAAGGAAAGGGGCTGAGAACGCCCGAAAACGAAACTCATCAAAAACAAGAAACAAGCCTCAATTCACGCAGTTTTAGAGTTGCTCCTACTCCCTAATTCGTGGCAGATGGTTATGTAAACTACGCTGCCGCTTCCTGGAACAAATGAAGTAGTTTTGAGCAAAAATTACAAGAGAGAATAGACCAGCACGAGGACACATGTTTTTTCGCATACACAGAGCAAAGGGCTCATTCTTCGACCCCGCTTCGAGTTTGAAGTTCTGCTGATTAAAAAGGGAAGCCGGGTGGAAGAATAAGGCCAAAATGAGTGAAATTTGAAAGAAAAAACGTTGAGAACGGTCTAAATTCTCCAACTTCTCCAACTGTTCAAAACGGTGCGGGGCGGCTGCAGCGCATGCAGCACAGTTCTGGAACTGTTCCAGCACAGGCGAGAACAGTGTGGGATTTGTGAGGGAACAGTTTCAGAACATGGGAATCAGTATGAACCCATGCTTGCACTAGGATGAGCACGTCCTACTGCCACGGCGTTTATCGATTTCACCTGGCGGCTTTGATAAGAGATAGCCACCGGATCAATCGCCGAAAGATGCGTACTCGGCACGTGCAATGTTTCAAACGTTGTGTCCCCATCAAGGGAGAGAGGGCGGATTAGTAACACGTTGACGACGAGCTGTATTTTTGACGTCTGTCCCTGTGGACGAACCGTTTCCGGGCATTTTCACAGCTGGCTGCATGTATGTATGCATGCATTTATGCGCAAGATACAAAAATGCAACCGGGGGGGGGGGCAGCTCCGCCCACTTTTGGCAAGCCCCTCACACTTTTTAAAAATGCGGGAAATTGCACAAAATTCAGGATTCCAAAATTCGTGCAAATCCCGGCACTTTTGAAAAGTAGGCGGGGCTTTTTTGTGGAAGGCAACAGAATGGGCGGAGTTTGCCAAACGTGGGCGGGGCCAGCATGAAATACTTCTAAGCCTAGGTTGATTATGTGAACACAAATCAAAACCACCGTGCACAAAAGAACTGACATCGTGGGTGTCGCGCACAATTGCGCGACACTGTCGTTAACGTGTTAAGGAAACTGAAGAGAACTTTTGAGTTTTGGTCCCTTTTCTGAACGCACGAATGTTCGGCTTGAACAATGATCTGCAAAATGGATAACCTAAGTAAGGAACCAGAATGTATATTTTGGGAAGCCTAGAAAATTTTGAAAAGAACGATTACACTTTGGAGGCCAGCCCATGGAAAAAAGGTTTTGAAGTGTAAATTGATTATAAACCAACAATAAAAAATAAGCAGTCAAAAAATCGCAAAGTGGCGTTAACTTGCAAAATGTATGCCTAAAAGTACTACCTGGCTATCAAAGCTTTCCGCAAATGTTTCACACAAAAATTCCAAAAATTAGCGAAAGTTAATCGTGGTGAAAGCAAAAGATTGTAGTTCCAGCGAGTATCTCAGCAACTTCTCCACATCAAACTGAGGGTATGGCAGCTAGAAAGAGGAATAAATTCTGCATCGTTTACAGTTTGAAGTGTTTGTTTATCTTGACTGTAGGGGAATTGCAGGTTATTTGAACTGACAAACTTTTGCACCGACCTAGTCTAGTGTAAATTTGATTACCCACCACCATAGACGTGCCAGCAAGTTCTTAGGGTCGCATGCATTAACATCCCACTGGGAGGGGAACGCAGCTTAAAGGAAAGCTTCATATTTTGAAGCCCTAGATATCTGATTTCTTGCTGTCTATCCAGCCGTAAGTGTTTCTACTACCCCTCGAAATAAACATATTGAACAGGAGCGAAAAGATGTATAAGCCACATTTCCCAGCTTTTTTGTATGATCTCCTGAAATCACCGGCGAACGGACGTCTTTTCTTCGACGTATTTTTTTGCTTTAAATTCAATGAAATCATAAGAATACTGTACTAATTTTCTAGCCCAACAGTGCTGAACATGTTTTTGATAAGAGCAGATGATTTACCAAAATATTGAAAATTTCGATAACCCCAAATGTTCAATTTGTGATCGCAATTTTTATAATTTTGATACATCATTTGTTTTCACCAAAAACATGCTTACCGCTGTTGGTTTAGATAATCAATACAACTTTGGAATCACTAACACTAAAAAAAATTGACGTTGAAGGAAGACAGCCGGCCGTCAGGGATCATCAAGGGATCATACAAGCTGGATTGCGGCTTATATGAGTTCTGGTCCCTGCCAATATGTTTATAGGTGGATACAAGTGGAAGAATAGACAGCAAGAAACCCAGATTTTCAAAATTGCAAAATATGAAGTTTCCTTTGAAATGCGTTCTCTTCCGCAGCGAGGATGATTCCCTTAGGGCCGCATGCATTAACATCCCCACCGGGAAGAGCATCGTAGCTTCAAAAAAGCTTTATATCCAGGGTCAAGCAAGTGATGCGACTGTCGCAAGGGGGTTTCGTAAAGGGGGCCTACGGTAAGAGGGGGGGGGGTCGTAAGAGGGTATAGCTTGGATAAAAAACCGTACTATTGAAAGCAAATCAAATAGCAAGTAATTATTACATGTTCTTAACAGTAAATTCATGGAATGCCGTGTACCAATGTATCAAATAAAAACGAGTGAACAATAATTTGAAAGCATTTGCAAGCGTAGAAATTCGCTTCATTTGCTGCACTATTGAAAGATTATGAATTAGTTCCTTTTTTTATGGGAATCGCTATCTCTCCCGCAAAATATTGTCTCAAACGGGGATCCCTGCTGGCATGAGTAAAATCCAGAAAATAAACACTTTAGAAGCTCAAATGCTACTAAAGGCATGTATGTGTGATAAAGATGTTGGATGTACCGATTGGTGTAGACATCCTGCTTCCGAAGGCTTACTGAAGACTCGCACACTCGACAAAAGCGTACATGTAGATCAAAATCAATAATTCGTAAATCTTTTCGTAATGCCATTTATGCGGCCCTTACAATTTATATGTACTTTAGATAAGCTCTGCTACTGCTGTGCGAAATTTGGTGTTACTTTACAAACTGCGGATTTTCTTATGATTTTATGTATGGTAGCAAAAAATGAGAAAAAAGGGGGGGGGGTCGTATCTGCGCCTGATCTAAATTTCTCCGGAGCTATCGAAGCTTGTTAGCTGCAAACTTGCTATAATACGAGGCCACCTCTAGTTTTTATATTAAGAATTTCAGGCTGTTTTATGACTTCTCTGGTAAGTTACAAAAGTGTTAAGCTCAAAAATCCCAGTTTTTGCTTTTTAGGATCGCATCTAAATTTGCGAGAGCCTGATCTAAATTTTTTCGAGCTCATTGCTCCTCAAGGGCTGAAACTTTTTCTGTGGATAATGTGGACACTATGCTACAGAACCTGTGCTTTGCAGCCTCTCAGTCTTTTCCTGGCCTTAGTTACGAATTTTCAAACTACCGTGCCCTTCTGAACGGCGTTAAAGCGGTTTTTTTTTCGCAGGAAAAACTGTGGAAGAGGTAAAAACTGAGCTTCTTAGTCGAAAACATCTTTTGTAGTTCAAGAATGTCATTGTTCTCCGTGTAAAAATTTGTGTCCATAAGGGAATTGAATTTGCTGGCCTGAAGTATGGTGTGAAAATTCAAAAGTAAGCTTGCAGAATCTCAAACATTATTGAAGGTGTGTATATGTGCTAGAGATCCTGGGCACTCCCATTGGCCTAGAAATTCTGCTTCCGAAACCTCACTGAAGTTCTCATGACATTCGTTTATGCAGGTTACCGCGACAAATCTTGGCAGGGGAGGTAAGGGGGATAGATGGGGAAGGGGGAGGGAAGGGGGGGGGGAGCGGGTCGTACGGATGAGTACCTTCAAAGGCAGTACATCGGCAGAATGAGACCCGTGGTAAAACAAGGTCGCAGGGTAGGAGCCCCTATATGGAACCTATGGGCCAAAGTTCGATCTTTCTCTGCCACTTCTAACCCCCGAAATTTCAAAGCGAAAGCAGCGCTCATCTCCTGCCGTCTCCGAACCCGCTCACCCCATGGACGAGGAAAGCGAAGCCCGCCATGGCGAAGACGCAGAGTCGTTGCGGGACCTCATGCTTATAGCATTGCGGCTGGCGCTCTGACCGCTGAAATCACTCGTCCATGGGGTGGGCGGGTTCGGAGA